GCCTTCCCCATCCTGTTTTCTAGGTGGGACGAGTGGATGACAATGGGTCCGTGGGACCGGGGCCCTGGGCCTCATCGCAGCCCGTCAGGACCTTGTGATGAGCGTGGACCCACCAGAGCACATGCCAACCTGGCCTGGCACAGCACACGCCCTCGGTGAGTGCCGGCTGGGCACGAGGCAGAAGACGGCTGCATGCTGGCACAGGGAGGGCCCAGCCTGTCCCTGCCCTGCATGCTACAGGAGCTGGGCTGGCCCTCCGGGTCTCTGCTTCTGGGGTGTGTGGGGAGCACCGCTCCCAGAGGGCAGCCGGGGGGTTGTAGACCCCCCTGCTCTAGCAGCCTTCCAATTCCCCTTTACAGGTGTTCCCACCTTGCACGCCAAGAGGAGTGAAAGCATTCAGTAACTTGATTCTAAAAGATTAAGAAGGGGTGTTTGCTCTATGTCAAAAACGAGGCTCTTCCATGTCCTCCTGCAGATAAGGAAATAGGAAACAGTGACTGAGGGGGAGAGAGGAGGGGCTGCTCAGGCTGGGGGGTAGGGGAGCTGAGGAATGTTGATTAATGGGGACAGAATTACGGACAGATTAGAGGCACGATGTCTAGGGTTGTAAAATGCAGGTGGGAGAATGCAGTTAGCAACTTGCTATGTGTCTCAGAGTAGCTAAAAAAGAAATTTGGAATGTTCCCAACCAGCGATGACAAATGGGTGAGGTGATGCGTGTAAAGTACCCCATTTAAACACCACGCAGTGTATTCTTATAACGCAAAATCACTTACCTCTACAGAGATGTGCAGGCATTACATGCTACTAAAAATACATTTTAAATGAATGCAAAAGAAGATACAAGAGATAGAAACATTGATGAGCCAGTGTAGGAAATCTTGAGAAATATTATCTTTCTTTCAGAAGGGGGCTGGGCTAGCCCTGTGGTCTGGTGGTGAAGGAAGCCAGACCCCATGGGCTCCCCACAGTCTGAATGCTGGCCCCGGTGGCTTGAAAACCACTGGGTTCATGTGCATGTGTGCCCCAAATCCCAACAGGAGGGAGAGATGGGAGGGGCTGCGGCATGTCCACGCTCCACTGGGGCATGCTCTCTCTCTCTCTCTCTCTCTCTCTCTCTCTCTCTCTGTCTCGTTCTCGGAGTGCACATGCCCTCTGACAAACAAACCAACAGAAAGACTACATTTTAAAAATGGAACAAAAGACAGGGTTTCTTTCAAAGGCCAAGGCTGAGCACACCCTCAAACACAAATCCAAGCCATGCCATTCTGGGCAACCCGCAGTTCCCCAAGGGTCCCCAGCTCAGCCTGGTCTCTGGGGCTGCTTGCTGCTCAGATATGCAGGGAAGGATCAGGCCTACTCCCCCCGTAGGTCATGAAGTCTCTGCATGGTGGCCGTGGAAGGACAGCCTCCTTTTGACCTTTTGAAGGACATACCCAAGTGAGAGGCTGGTATCCTGGAAACCGACTGGAGGCCCGAGAACCTTGAGCCAAGCAGAAGGGAGAGCTGTACCCTGAGCTGACCTCACCGCCTTGCTGCCATCCTTGCTTTTCCTCTGCAAAATTCGGTTTCGGGTTGTTCTCAAGTGACCCTTTGTAAGCCTTGAGAGCAACGTGCACTGTACTGTCAGAGTGAACGCTTTCGTAAGACGCAGAATTGGAGCCTCTAAAACCGCGTCTCAGAAATATTTCACCCTGTCGCCTTACAGGGAAGGAGCAGGGAGGCCTCAGCTCATGTGGGCAAGGCTGGGTGTGGTCAAGGGCCACCTGGCCCACTGGGCTGCTCCCAGGGTCATTTCTGTGTTCATCTAGTCTTCACAACAACTGCATGGTCAGGGCACCTCTTACAGCAACCATCAAAGGCAACACAGTTAAACACAAGATAAGTGAGCCGGACTTGCCTGGCTTCGTGCCAGCGCAGGTCTGCTTTAGACACGTGATCCTTAAAACCCGCAGGCAGCAGGCATCTGGCTTACTTGGTGAGGCCGTCAAGGTCAAGCACACTCCCTTCCTGGTCCCTGGTCACGGTCTCCAGCGTGCATTTTCACTCCCGCCCCGAGCCAGCTGCAGCCATGAAAGGCCTGTCCCCCAAGGTCGTCCAGTTACATGAAAAGGAGCAGGAAACGAAACCCAACACAGGGGAGCCGAACAGCTTCTTTTAAAAAGCTGTACATGGCAGCCAGCCAGGGGGCTAAAGCACTAGATCCCATATGCCCTATTTCATGGTTCGAGTCCTAGATCTGGCAACTTGAAAAACATGCCAGGCATCTGTGCTCATATGCCCAAAATCCCAAGAGAAAAAGGGAGTGGAAGGCACCATGGCATGGCCATCCTTTCTGAGGGGTGATTTCTCCCTTTCCTGCTCTCTGTCTCTTACTCTCCAACAAGCGTACCTGCCCCATAGGAAAAAAAAAAAAAAAAAACAGGTGTATGTAGGGCCAGTCCTGTAGCCTTGTAGTCAAGGTAGCCAGAGCCCACCTGGCCAACTTTAGTTCAAATCCTGGCCCCAGTAGCTTGAAAAACACATCAGGTACATGTGTATGCACGCCCAATCCCGACAGGATAGAGGGATGAAAGAATGGGTTGTGGTGTGACCACGTGGCATTAGGAAGTGCTGTTTTCCTTTCTCTCTCCTCTCTCTGTCTCTCTCTGGTGAGAGAGTACACTAGCAGTGTTACAATGTTTTTTTTAAGTTGCATGTGTTTATGCATGTTACATAATATATTGCCCCACAGGAACCACGACAGGTGAAAAGTAAATACGCCCAAATGTGCCAGTGGTGGATTACAGGTATTTTACTTCTCAAAACATGTTTGTCTTTTACAATTTCTCCACAATGTATACATACAACTTCTATGAATGTACAAAGGTATCTAATGAGAGTGACCGTCTTCCCATACTCAGCCTGGCTCAAGCATCTGGGTACCTGGAAGGACTTGGCAGCTGGCTTGTGCTGGCCCTGGAAGCAGACTCCCGGTCCAAACCCATTAGCCCATGGCCTTCCACAGTCTTGAGCAAAGGCCTGCATTAGCATTGAAGTACTACCGCGAACATCCATCAGTGCTTTCCAGAGGCAGGGCACTTGCTCAGCAGTGCACGAGTCACCTCGACACGCATGTAGTGGTGAGCATGTCTGAGCATGTAGAATGTTTACCCGTGCATTGCTACATTGCACTACACCATACTATGGAACACAGTCAGGTGTTTATAAACACAGTGCATTTATTACTGCCGGCTAGGTTGTTCATTGCATTCTTCGTAAAAGCATTAAACATTCCTTCATTAAGAAAAAAAAAAGAGTCTAGCCTAACATTTGGGCCTGCGGTTTTGTCCAAGCATGCGTTTCCCCTGCACATTCTCATGGGCCCTGGGGACCCAACAGGTGGCCACACAGTCAGCTCCACACAGAGAGGCCAAGTTCTGCAGGGACTGCCAACCAGGGCTCCACATGCACCTCTTGCTACTGGGAGGGTCTGCTTGCCTGCCAGAGCCGAGCACTGTCCTGCTATCAGCGTCCTGCTGGATAAAGCAGTTACACCCTTCGCGTTTACTCCTTTACTCCAGCATGTGGTGGCAAAGGGGGTTTTGCCAGGAAGCAGGCTGGTGTAGAGGCCCACCCCCACAAGGCTGCTCCTCACTAGGAAACTTGAAAAGCATCTGAGCTCTACAAAGAGGTAACAGTGACGAAACCCGGGAACAGACACGGCCGAGCTATTTCACTGGGCTTTTGTCTCGGAAAGGGTGTTTTAAAGAGCTGACCCATGGGAACCAGAAGCTTTTGTTACAGTGAAATAACACAACTCATACGCTTTCCTCTGGTCTGGTAGATGCTCCCACGGTTTGAAGAGGATTTAAAAAGTGGCTAGATTCTTACAGAGTCGACCAAAGTTCGAGTCCCAGACTGGGCCACTTAAAAACTCATGCTGGGTGCAAGATCGAGTCTCAGACTGGGCAACTTAAGAACTCATACTGGGTACATCTGTGTGCGTGCCTGAAATCCCAAGAGGAGAATGGAGGAAAGAGATTGCAGCCTGGCCATCCGTCCTCGGGGCAGGAGGAGGGAGGGAAATTCTTGCTGTCTCTCTCTGATGAGAGCATGCACCCTATAACAAAAATCTAAAACAAAGTGGCACTCAGCAAGCCTATCAGACCCTGAGAAATGCAGTCCCCACCCTCCTCTGCTCTGCTGAAGGCCTGGCCCCACCTGCCCAGAGCGACACAGTCAGGCACAGGGAGTGAAATGAAGACTCAGGGCTAATACAAAAGACCGAGCTCCTGGTCCTCCTTGGCGTCCTGGCTGAAGCTGGCAGTGCTCTCTGTGCATCTCAGCTGGCGGGGAGCAGCAGTACCCCCACTCTGACGTGGGCAGCCCGCTCCGAGCAGCACCGCCCACCACCGCCGGGGCTGCTCACGCCTGTGTATGTAGATGCAGCTTTCCAATTTCTGCTCAGATCTTCGATCACAGCCGTGACAACATGATGACTCACTTAACGCAGTGTGACAGTGATACCTCTGAAACAGTGACTCGTGTCAAAGCCTTTCAGAGGAAAAGTTCTGAGAGCAGGAGCTGCCTGCTCTCCTCAGGGACCGGAAGGGCAGGGTCTGCAGCGGGAGGCCCTGGAGGGAGGCTGGAAGCTCTGCCTGCCTCCAGCAAGCTGTCTGGATAGCAGCTGCAAAGGGAGCAGAGGGCAGGTGAGCACCCCGAGGGGGAGGGGAGGCACTGAGCCCGCAGGAGGGCCAGCCTTTGCTGCCCCCAGCGCATGGCTTATCTTAAGCACGCACCTAGCCTCGCAAGTTTAGAAATCTCCTAAAAGGAGAAACAGACCTGACTCAAGTTCTAACCTCACGCGGGGCCAGGGACCCTTCCCCCACTGCCGGCAAGGAGGAGCCTGGAATGCTTGCTGGAGGAAAGGTGGAACAGGTGCCGGCTGCTCACGGAGTTCCAGCAATCATCTGAACTCCCGAGACAAGGCTCCCCTACCCTCAATAAACAGCGTTAAGTGTGTTTCAATAAGTTTATTGTAAGACTCAGAACTTGGACAGCAGCATCCTTTAGAAAATGCAGACGGATCAGATCCGGTTGGCAAGCCCTGCTGGCCGCTGGTCAGTCACGGCTCCTGCAACTGTACCAAGTCCAGGCCGCGGCCATTCCCCTCCTTCCTGCCGAGTGCAGGCTGCTGAGTCACGCCTGCCGGGCCAGTCTGTCCTTCCTGGCCCCGCGGCCAACGTCCCGCCTCCGGCCTTCCTGCACCGACTCCAACACTGGCAGAGACCTCCTCGGCTCAGGCCAGCCTGCCCTGCTGCCGCCGCCGCCTCCGGAGGCCGCCTCCTCGCTCTCCAGGCGCCCCGCCTCTCAGACTGCCAGTCTCCACGCCGCACTCAGGCGCCCTCCGAGGGCCCCTCCACAGAGCCAGGCGCGCGCTGGGCGCCCCGGGGCATCAACGCATCAATCAGACCAAGGTCCCCCGCCGGGCGGTCACTCGGGGAGGGTAATACTGGGCACCCAGTCGTTGACTCTGCGACTCTCCTCGCAGAACAGGCTGAGCTTCTCCAAGGCAGGGTCCTTCCACGCGTCTTCATTAGGGTTCTGCGGAGAACGCAGAGGTCAGTGGGGCTGGCCGCGGGCGGACCGGGCGAGGGCGACACAGCGGCGGGGGCAGGGTAGCACTCACCGAAATGAGGATGCAGTGCAGGTCGCCCTGCGCGCCTGCCTCCTCGCCAGCACCCACGATCGCCGCCAGCCGCTGCACGTCGCCCACACGCACGATGTCGATGTCATTCTCGCAACAGAACGCCTGGATCAGCGTAAAATGGATCTGCAGCGCGATGTCGCCTTCGTCCTCCTCGTCGGCCGCCAGCACACAAAAAGTGACGTTGTCGGGGTCCCTGCACGAGCGAGGGAGGTCCAAGTTAGGGCAGGCGAGTCAGGGGGCCCGGCCGCCGCCCTTGAGTCTCCATCTGCACCCCTCTCCCCCAGCCGCCTGGCCCCGGCCGCAGATGTACTCACACATTCATGACTTTGGCTGACTCGTAGACGCCGGCGGTGAGGCAACCCTGGCGTTGCGCGGAGAGCAGCAGCTCGTGCAGCGCTTTCCCGGCACCCTGCATCCTGCGGAGGGGCAGCGCGGTGAGGACCCGTCCGGAGCCGCAAGGAAACCCCCAGCCCCGACACAGAGCCCACATCTCCTACACCCGGTTCCCTAACCCTGAGCGAGCGCCCGCACCCCCAACTCTCCGGCCTCGGAGACGCACACTTGGTTACCCGGCCCCGGTGGCCGCATCCCCGACTTCCCGGCCCCAAGGACGCACATCCGGATTCTCAACTACGGTTCCCAGCCTGCGGGCTGCTACTCCCGCGGGCTCCCGGGGCCGCAGCCAGAACGGTCGTGTTCTGCGCGCCCAGAAACCCACCTGGCCTTGCTTTCCGGAACCGTGTCCTGGCCGCGGATTTCTTCCAAAGTCATGGTGCGGTCGGCGACCAGCAAGGTATCCAACAAGCGAAGCGCGCGAAGGAGACGCGGGTGCAGACTCGTAAGAACCACCCGCCCGGCGCGCCCACAGCCAGCGAGTGCGCCCCGGCGCCGCCGCGCGTCCTAATATAGGCTGGCGGGGGGGGGGGGGCGCGGCTGCGAGCCCATTGGCCGGCGCCGGCTTTCTGATGCAAATGAGGCGGCGGGCCGGCGGCTCGTGCCAGAAGGCCGCGCGGGGAGGGGTGCGGGGGATGACAATGCCTCAAATCTGCTGCTTTTGTCGAGGTGTTACCAGGCAGACTGCAGCCTGCAGAGTTCAACCCCCACCCTTTTTTCCCCCTCAGTCCTTAAAAGGAAAAAGTAAAAAAATAAATAAATAAAAATAAAATCTGGTTTGTTAGTATGATGCTGCAGTTCGTGAAGTGCGCTCCTTTGGAGAAAATACATGAATTTGACTTACATGTATTTTTATTGCTCCCGTTCTATTTTTTTCTATGTATTTATTTTTAATTGAAAAGTTGTGACTGCAGCATGGACGCCAGAAATTAAAGTAAAAACACGCAAGAGCCAGTTTGCGGCTTGCAGAAGGCAGTGGCTACAACTGTCAACCAGCAGCTGGCAGCGGCCGCCCCACCGCCCCACCGAAGCCTTCAGAGCATACTATGTGTCCGCAGGCGCTGGCGCTGGAAGGTCAGAGCCCACTCTCCGCCCGGGACAGAGCGCAGCGGGGCGCGGGGGCCGGGCGGGGGCGAGAGCAGATTGCGGCCGGCGCACGCGGCTCGTTTGCATTTCTATGGAGAGCACACAAAAGCGGAGGTCTGGCGTGTGGCGGTTTGCAGTAGGGACAATCGAGGCTTTCTCTTCATAGCAACACTGTCCACCTGCCGCCGGTTGGACTGCACAGGGCCCCACCGCGAGTGGGGGTCGCCGGGAGGCCCGGCGCGTGGGGGTCGGGGTCGCGTGCCGCTCCCCCAGCCTGGGTGCCCGCCCCCTGCACCCGCCGGACGCAAGTTATCCAGCTCCACCGGTTCCTCGCACGCGTGCGGAGCAGCCGCGCGAGTCGGGAAGGACCGGGGCTGCTGCATGGTCCAAGCGGCCGGGCGAGCTTCGGCTCCAGGAGCTGGGGAAACACCGCTCGGGAATCCCTTTCCCGGGGCGCCACCTACAGGTTGCCGGTAAGATCCTGCCCCTCCCTGGCCCCGCACCACACGCACACGCACACGCTCACACGCACACGCTCCCTTCCATTGTCCTCTGGGCGGCGGGGTCCCTTGGCCTCTGGCCTCCAGAGGACGATGAGGTCCCGGAGCTGCCTGCCGGCGTGCATATTAATGCGACAATCAGGGCTGCAGAACGCACCCAGGTGGGTGGTGGGGGGGTTCCCTGGCGTGCAGGGCAAAAGGCCTCACCCAGTGATGAAAGAGTGGAGCTCATGTTTTATAATATTGTGAAATATCCTGATTACTTAAACGTGCATATGTGAAAAACTTGTTTTCCTCTAACAGAGTAATAAACCTGGACGATCCCCGAGAGCTCAAGCCAGAAGCTGACATTATCTGAGCACTCGACCTCCACGCCGGCTCCTGCAGACCTCTCGCCACCGAGAACAGCACTCCAGGGTCTGCAGCTTCTGTGCCTACAGGCGAAAGCACGCTGGGGCCACCGATGGCGGTCCCCTTTTCTAGACCAGGCCTGGGACACTCTCCAGGGCAGGGGATGGGACGGGCGGATTCGCTAGTAGCCCGGTCCCCGGAAAAGAAATAACTCGTACAGCTCTTTTCTTTGCTCAGGCTCCTTTTTGGTGGACGATGTCAGTACGCGATGCTTGGCACTTCTTGGGACGTTTTCATTGTCCTGACAACGCCAAGAGCCAAATTGAGGACCTGGCTTCTTGCGCCCCCTGGCGGCATCCCAGCAAAGGGGAGCAACAAAAACAAGAGCTTCCTGATTCCAAACACGTGTTTGCTTCCCGGAAAATCCGAGGGCGGCCCCTGCTCCCCAGACCGGGCGGCATTGCCGGTGCTGGACTGGTCTGCTACCGTCTCCTTTCCTGTTTTCCGATGGTATGTTAAATGATGTGCCTCCATTAGACAAAATGTTCATTTTTAAGTGGCTGGGATTTACACGTTGCTCTTTTTTAAAATATTAAACATTTTTAACTGGTACTAGTTTCAGGTCTCTAGGAAATGTTGGAAATACCATCTGGACACCTTAGCACCCCATTTGGAGCCGGTCAGTGGGGAAGAGGGGCTTCCAGCTCTGCCCTTGCCAACCTGGGGCAGGAGGGAGGCCTGGCAGCCCCACCAGCACCACCCGCCCCCACCACTAGGGCTGTGGTACTTTGCTCAGATTTTTAAGGTATTCAGTTTCAGGAAAACTGCCTTCCCGACCTGGGACGTGGCCTCACGTGGCTTTTCTGGGTCAGTCCCAGTCCTCCTCATACTCTCCTCTCAGTGAATAAAGAAACCTTTCACCTGGAAGCATAGTCCGCCTCCCACCAGCCCCACCCTACGGTGCACAATGCTGCCGCTCAGGGCCAGGGTGCTCCCAGTCCGGTGCGGTCCTTTGGGTGGGTCAGACTACAGGAGGGGAGTGGGCAGTGCGGCGGCGGAAGATGGTCCCACGTTGCATTCTGTACCCCTGAGCCTTGCCCTGAACCTTAAGAATGCAGCAATGGTGACTTTCTTAAGGGGAGACCCTCAGACACGCTGTTTCAGAACCCCTTCGGAGGCCTGTCTGTGATCACCGACCGAAGCTGGGCGGCTGGGACAGTGGTGGGGAGGTGCACTCGGCCGGCCGGGATATGAAGGAAAGCAGAGGCCAGCGAGCCCTGCACCCTGCCGGACACCCGCATTGCAGCTGTCCCGTGCTGCATTCCAAGTGCAGGCATGTGCCCCGGGGCCACCCACAGGGGCTCCGCGTCCACCGCAGCCCACCAGAGCTGAGGCTGGCTGGCTGCTCCAGCCGTGCTGACCGACATGGCCTTTGGGGTCTTAGGAAAGTCAGATTCGTTGCCACTTTGCAAACCTGCTGTGTTCATGTTAAAAGCTGGATTCCCAGGTACTTTTAGAAAAACGAGGAGATTTATCCAAGTGCCCTCACTGTGGAAAGCCTTAGTGGGGGCGAGGGGCTGGGACTGCAGACTGGGTGCTGCTCCCCACTCCCCACAACCCCACCGGCCCTGGGGGAAGGAGCCAGCCATTCTGCCCGCGGACATCACTCACCGGCTCTTCACCTTCACATCTGCAGTGTGCAGAGAGAAGAGGGAGTTTGAAACAACAGAAAGGATTCGATTCTTCTTTTTAATTTGCCAGATGGCAAGTGCAGTCATCAGAGAGAGGAGAGATACAGAGACAGAGAGAGATGTGTGGGTAATGGGGGCAACAAGCCGAACGGACGCGGGACACACAGCTTCCTCTTCCACAGCAGCCACAGCCCTGAGTATCCGGCATCTCCGGCCCAGCCAGGAGCCCTCGCTGGGCTGCCCTTGGGCGGAATGAGGGTATGTGGGTGGGGAGGCTTCAGATGACAGCTGAGACAGGAAACAGGAAACTGAGAGGAAAGACCCGGAGGGCAAAACCGGACATCTGTGCCTGTCCCTGTGGTGGGGAGTTTTCTGGAAGGAGCAAGTCACTCCTGCGTAGTGAGAGAGGAGACGTCAGCTGGGGAGATCACCGAGCGTAATGGGGGCGCCGAGTGCGTGCACCCGTCCGCAGAGCAGGCCTGATTCCGGGCACCTGCCGCAGCCCCAGGCAGGGCCGCCCAAGGCCCGCCCTGACAGGCCAGCCCCTGAGCAGCACTGCATGCTGCGAGGATTCGGGGCACGCACATGCAAGTGCCCCCATCTTGGGAGCCTTGGTTTTCCCTCCCGTGGAGTGAGCATACTCTCCCCGGCCCTTCGGGGCTCAGAAGGGTTTTGAAGGCCACTGCTGGCCCTGCCAGGCCCACGGAGCACTCGATCTGTGCACTCTGCAGGAAGAGTGGGTGGCAGGCACCAGACACCACGTCAGACCTGCGGGCACGCACAGTCCCTGTCCAGCCCCAAGGACATTTGAGTTTGGAGTAAACTTTTCCTGTTTTTTTTTTTCCATTTCCAGAGGAAAGAGAAAGTGAGAGTTCAACTCCCCCCCAGAGGGGATGAGCATGTTGTAATCCCTTCTCCTCCATTCTCCTGGTATCTTGGGCTCACATGCACACATGCCCAGAATGATTTTGAAGCCACCAGGTTCAAGACTCCAACCACAGGGGGAGTCCAGCGACACACCCACTGTGCCATCTGCTGGTCCCTAAGCGTATCAAGTGTGCTGAGACACTAGGGCTGTCTCTGTGGAAGCAGTAACATGTGACAGTCTGCGGGCCGCAGGTGATTCACTCCTTCTGAAAGGCAAATTCAAACACATGGGTTACGACCCCCAAAAACGGCAGCATCGTCCTGGAGCCAAACTTAGCCCAGCAGGATTCAAAGCTGGGTCTAGCTGCTTGCTAACCTTGACCCTGAGCAAAAAATGTTAGGGTTGGGACCAGCAGTTAGTGTAATGGCTGTGTCACTGGACTCCCTTGTAGCTGACCGCGGTTCAAGTCCTGGATCTGGTGGCTTAAACTCACGCTGGGGCATGTGCGTGCGTGCCCAAGATTCCAACAGGAGAATGGAGGAGAAGGGATTGCGGCATGGCCATCTCCCCTGGGGGGTGCTTTCTCACTTTCTGTCTCTCTGTCTCTGTCTTTCTGGCGAGCGCACGCGCCCTATAGCAAAAACCTCTCAAAAAAAAAAAAATGTTAGGGTTGATTCAAAACATGTAGTAAAAGGAGTCGATCCTTGTCAAGCCGTTAAATCCTTCCTATAGGCTCTGCTAAGGAGGACGTTCGGGCTGGCTGACGACCCAGCGATGAAGGGAGCCAGAACCCACCGGGCCCTGGCAGCTTGGATCACACTCCGGGCACTGTGCATGTGTGCCCAGAATCCTGACAGGACGGGAATGGAGGAAAGGGGACTGCAGCATGACCTCCCCCTAGGGAGTGCTTTCTCCTCTTCCCCTCACTATGTCTGTCAACCACAGATGCCGTCTGGCAAGTAAAAAACAGGAAGGGCATTACGAATGCATATGA